AATCCCCTGGACTATAGTATCTGGGCATACATGGAGCAGGAGGCCTGCAAGAAACCACATTCATCAGTGCAAGCTCTGAGGGCATCCATCACCAGAACTTGGAGCAAAATGGATGAGGCATATGTAAGAAAGATGTGCCAGAGTTTTCGTCATAGGCTAGAGAGTGTAATTGAAAAAACGGGTGGAATTATTGAATAACATGTGTTACATAACTATAAACAATAACCTGTAACATTAAAAGTGTGATTTCAATGTTTCTGTTGTTTTATTTACTCTTACTTTCTGAATAAAGTGGTTGCACAAGTTAAGGTGGAACACCCTGTATTTAGTGCTGACTTGGCAATATGTGTGCCTGCAGGAACAAGTACGAGAATAAATCTTGCAGAGGAATCAAGCAAGATTCAGTTTGATTCTTAGACAGCTAGATTTGGATTACCTCCGGGACATTGCTCAAGAAGAGCTTTTCTTGGCAACAATGGCATCATACCACCTAAACATCCCCCTGGAACTATTTAACAGTCTATGGGAGTTGATCATCACCCTTAGCTTGTCTATTCAATCTGCTGAAGAAGCATCAGTTAGGTTAATCAGTAATTCCAGATTTTCAGACCAAAATACGCAACCCCTCGTGAATCATGCAAATCCCTATTGCATGATAAGATGATAGAATGTCTGAATTGAATGTGTTATGGACATGCTTTTTAATTTGTCAAATTTAATTAGTCTGAAAAATTTTGTATTGACTTTCTTCTCTTCAGATTTAATATTGTGATATTTGGTGGGATTGATGATTTCTGAAGAAGGGTATGTCAATGTCCCATCTTGACAGAAGAAACCAAAAACAAATGTCTCACAGTGACAACATTAAATGATTTAGAATTAAGTTTTCCCAATCCTTTTTACATAGATCCTATATCATGATGCTGCTAATGGGCCATATTCTTTGTTCTATGCCATATGGTCTGTGCTTTCTAGAGGTCTTCACTATTGATTAATACCCTGGGCCCCACCAAAGCACAATGCATGAACACAGAAATTCTGCTAGAGTACGTGGTGATGAAGGGGTGGAAAACGTGGACATTGCCCGATTCATGTTCTCTGACAAAATTGTCCATAAAGTATGAGTAAAATAACATAGTAGGAAAAGTACAGGAAATATTAGTTTGCTGTCATTTCAGTATAAATATTACTTCAAGTGTACAAAGTCTACAAATGTACAATACAGTAGTTCAATTTAAATGCAGTTAGAGTAAGGGTTATATCACGAATACACTCAGACCCACTGATGGACAGATCATGGAGCCTTTATTAGCCCGGCAGAGAGAAACCGGTAACAGGGATCAGGCAGAGACGTAGTCATACAGGCAGGGTCGAAAGCCAGGAGATCAAGAAGAAACGGCAGGCACTGGGTCAGGATCCGGGAGAGGGTTGATTACTGGAGAATCCATCCAGACACACAGACAGGGCACACGGGGAACTCACAAGGAGGAAGAGCGAGGGGAGGAAGGGCAGGAGGGAGGTAGAGATGGGCTGGTGGGAGAATTGGACAGGACAAGCAGGGCGGAACGGAGCTAGACGGGAGACAGGGAGAATAACGCTCGGTAAGTTTCCGTACATGAAGCAATACCTCGCACCGGATTGCAGTTATTGTCGTGCTTATATCTAACATGGTTCCTAGGTCTATAGTATGAGTAAAGAGGGAGAACAAACATGAAAAACACTTGCAGTTTGATTTATTTTTTTTTATGGGAAAATTAAAGTTTATTACTGCAAAGATGTTTAAAAAGTCCTTTGTGCTGTAACTTGAGTGGAAGTCATAAATTGTCTAATCTAATTTTAAATAACTTCTAGTTGTGGAAAAATTCTACATAAAAATGAAGAGGACATGAACATATGTAGGTGTAGTCTAACACTGCACAAAAAAACTAAAGTTATTTTTTCTCGCGCCTTATCATTATACTAGCATACCCCACATAAAGAAAATATTTTAGGTAATCTAAATGCTTTTTAAAAATTGTTTATATCATATGAAAGTCTGCACCACATCTGATTGCTGTTGCCATATTGTCCCTAAATTCACAGTAATTAACACAGTGGGAAATGTGATGGTACGTGTGCTTCAGTACTCAAAGTTAACAGGTGAATTTATTATAAAGCTTAAAATGTTTTCAGTATTTTATTATTTGAATTTTCAGCAATTAGTTTAAGTGGTTAACAGTATTAGTAGTAGAAGTAGTGCTGTACTAATGAAAATGGTAGAAACAACAGAACTAACACTGTTATGGCAGCAGTAGTTGTAACAGTAGTATTGGAGGTAGTAGGCGTTGTAGATTGAATTGTTCAAAAGCATAGTGCTAAATTTAGGTGAAAGAACAAATAAAAGTATACAAGCATAAGCTGTGAACCAAGCACAGTAATAAAAAATTAAGTAAAAAAGAGTGTATGAGTGCTTTGCTAAGGCACACCTACACCCCATCCCCAGCTACAAGGATTATCTGTTTTCTAGTTGCCATTCAAATGATTGTATGAGTCTCAACAAAGACATTTATCTCCCAGCTTCTTATGGGGTAAAGAACACTTATCCTCAAGCTCTTGTAGGAAATCTTGAAAGTTATATTATTTATTATTTTGTTCTATTGATTTTTTTTTTTAATTATTTCAGTGGTATTATGAGCTCAAGTCAATTATATTTAGATCAGGGGTGGGCACTTATCCAGAAAGGGCTGCTTGCTGGATATACTGGTTTTCAATGCAATACGGACAAACGGGGTTTATTCACTGGACAGGAGGCACACCAGGCAAAACGAGCACTAAACATCACATTACGACACCACAATGACAGATCTGGGAAGACTAACTCAGATGCGGACTAAATACACAGGACAAGCCAAAAAGAACAGGAAACAGGTGATGAAAATCAGGAATTAACACAAGGTAACGAGGTGGCACACACGAGGATCGGACGAGCTGGGTGTAACAGTGAGCATGCATGCCTTAGTTTGCCAGGCTTTGTCCTCATCCACAACTAAAGATCCCAACTGATAATACCTTTCCAGGTTACTCTCCCAGTCCCCACAGACACTTGCATGTAGTTCCAGTTCCACTGTTGGGTTCCTTTTGGCAAACAGGGCACTTTCCTTCTATTGACTGAAACAAAAAGACATAAGATTCATCACAGAATATTGAAAACAGTCTAAATGAACACAAGTTACTTTTTTGAACCTAGATATGAGAAGCAACTTACTTTCTTCTCAGAAACCTAAATATAGACAAGGAATTTAAATTTTGAATAAATTACTTGTCATGCATGTTTCTAGAAAGGAGTTACAAGCAACAAGTAGACTTATTTTTACCTCTGGTTCAGAACCTGAAAGCGTGTCACATTCCAGGCAATTACATTGTTTTACATGAAGGGCAAGAAGCTGCAAAGGCATAACCTAAAAGAAATTCTAGCATTCAGCCTTTGGCATGACTGAAAACTCCTGGGCGACATAGGGAAGAGGTGCTAGATCAAATTCTTCCTGTAAAGCAACAATGTACAGTTTGGTTTCCCCCCCTCCAGAGGCACTTCTGATCGTACTTGCTGTGTATCCATCTGATTCAGGGGGTTCTACAGATAAATGCCGTCTTCCATTTCTGCCTGTTGAAAAATTACAAAAGTTATCGCAAATTTCACAGTAGGTTCAATCTACAATTCCCTTGCCACATGTAGTATATATATATATACTGTATATACACACACACACACACACATACATACCAGCTGTTTTGTACAGAAGCCATCCTCCAGTGATTGTCCTCATCTTTGTATATGCACTTTTAAACAAGTTACAGACCTAAAATGTAAGTCTGCATTATGAATTTCTTTAATTTTGTGTGATAAAAAAAACACAGTTGCTTGATGAGAGGGTGTGTCAGAGGAAGAAGAAAGATCACCTCTGAATGAGTCATGTCCTCAGGCATGGACAGAGTTCTTTTCCCCAGACCAGCATGCATGTGCTGTAGGTCCTCATTTGGTGAAGGGATTATGTCACAATTTTTGTAAAAAAGAAAAACTTTAAATTAAATGGGTTCCACTGTTTGGCTGCCTTTGCTGGCTTATAAAAACTTAGTGAACTTCGTTTTCAGCCCCACCTAAAAAAATCCAGGGAAAGATCAGCAAAAAATGTTTTGCCATAAATAAACAATACTGTGCAGAATGCTCCAATAATGAAAATAAGATGAGATGAGAACCATTACGATAACACGGTGTTATACACTGGAGTAACTGGTGTTACATACATAGTGTTTATTAATCATGATTTCGAATGCTAGACCTGGCCATTTCTTGATCCATGCTCGGGAGCTGCCCTGAACTCTGTCCCTGACTCTTGTTTGTGCTGGCCTTGCCGAATGACTGGCTCAAAATTTAAAGTATAATCTGTACAGCTGATGTGGCAGCCTCAGCAACAGGGATAGAACCTTGCTGGAGATTGAAGATGAACCTATTTATTAGTGCTAATATTACATCTTATGTGTCAACCTCTGTAGACAGAAGACATCATATTTACAGTTTCTAAATTGTACAGATTCACCAAAAGCATTGCTTATTGTCAGATCAATAGCAAGTACAGCAATCTGTTATTTACAATAATATAGAAATAACACAGTATCATTTTCTTCTGGTTTGATTCGTATATTAAAATTGAGTATCTGCCAATACTGATATCAGTCTGATATTTTTTCCCCTTTACCAACTACTAAGTATTAAATTACATGTTTGTATTAGTACATTTCAATTAACAATGCAAACGATCTGCATTTAGCGTTGTAGCGGCATTGAGTATACTAATAGGAAAATATAAAGGTCATGTGGCTCAAAGCTATGCCACTATGCCACAGGAAGACATCTGCTTCGTTGTTTTATTCAGTAAAAACCTTTCACACAAAAGAACAAAGATTTCTTAAAGTGACAATTATGCCACCTGTTTCCAAATTAAATATGATAAAGAAATCAATACTGAAAAATATCACTGTATAGCGCAACTAACCATTTCTAGTAGAGATGCACTGATAGTAATTTTCTTGGTTGATTCCTATTTTTTTGTGTGACCTGCCAATACCGATTTTTGCTGATTCTGATGTTATAAGAACTATAATTGAAAGCATATGCAAACAAAAATCAACTTTTCTTCAATGCAAAACTTTAATTTCATAATAAAAGAAAAACTTTATCTGACAAATTTTCATTTACCAAATAAGAGCAAGTGCAACAAATTTAAATAAAAAAACAATGTCAGTTACTTATATCGTTTTCCAGTATGTTTAAATTCACCAGATAGTACGACATTGACATTTTTCTTTTTTACTCATCTTAAAATAAAGTCCATAGGTTACAAACCTCCAAATGAAACTGAAGTGTACTATACTCTTCCAAATAATAATAGGTGCAGGGTAATATTATTAATGCCAACATCGTATGTTATGCACATACAGTTTTTACATCACTAGTAAGCTAAATTAAGATTAAGCTAAAATGGACTGGTTCGGTATTGGAAATACATGGGACTGACCGACCGATTCCGGTCCCTGGCCAGTAGATCGGTTCATCTCTAATTTCTAGTCAAAAACTACACATAAATCTACAGTACAAAATATACCATTCTGAAGACATCTAGTCTAACCTTACATACATTGCACTCTGCCATTTCACTTTTTTCTCCTTCTGTGTAATTTCCACACAGCTAACATGACCAAAACACATGCACTGCTGAGCACTTAGTCATCGAATGACACTCATTTCTGTTAACGGTATGGCTTGCTAAAGCTACAGGCATTTATGCGATTTTTCAGGCCATCTCTGATGGAAAGGCAGATTGATTTCTTAGTCCAACTCTCTCTCCCCCCCTGCCATATCCGATCCAGCATTTTTACCGGTGTTGGCCTGATACCGATAGTGGGTATCAGATCTGTGCCATCTCTACTGTAATATATTCATGAATGTTGTTTGTCAATGTTTTAATGCACTCCCACTGAACTGCAGGTGATGCTGGGGAGAGAAGTATAGGAACAGATGTCAAGAAAGATTCACTGGTACCAGTACCTGACTGGTACTTACACCAATAAACTATTTTAAACAACACTAAAATTTGGGTATCATGGACAAATCAACCATAAAAACTAAAGCAGAGAGCAAGTCATATTTATTTCGCTTGCTTTTGTTAATTCTTAACTCAGATCACAGGCGCTAGCTTACAGTGTCCGTGTCATTGTGTAATAGCTGTAACAGACAGGTACTGTAGGTCACATACTGACCTACCTGGGACTGCATCATAGGTCTGTTCGAGTCCTGCTCAGGCCGTACAGAGAGATGATGACAATAGCAATAGGACAACTCCACTCAGCCTCCACTGATTTACATGGCAGATTAGTGTGTTTTTAACAAAAGCTGTCATCGCAAGCATTTATATATCTATACAGAGATGAACAGTGAGTCCGTTTATTTTCGTGCAATTTATTAAAATTGCAGTCCATTCAATTTGTCACTGTTTTTGAGGTTCTCAATCTTTTATCTCAATCTATCAAAATTTTAACCAAAAATCGAGCATTGAAGTAAATAAATAATAACTTGGATTATGTCGGGATAATTATTGATATCGTTTGATATGGAAAAATTATCATAATAAAATATTTTGCCATATTGCCCAGCCCTACACACACACACACACACATACAGTATAACTAAGTCTACTTAGCTAGCAGTCCTTATACCTAATTAGCGTTAGCAACTTAGCTAATGTTAATTAGGTAAAAGCTAAACTACATAGCTAAGCTTAACTTTAATTCTAATTTAGCACAATAAAATGTATAGTGCAGCACGAACAACATCAACACTTACACTTTGTTAATCTTGTTGTCGGATCCAATAAAAATTAGTTAGTGGGTAAGTCCCACTGTTAATCAAAAATGTCTGTGCCCGCCAAAACTCCCACTTGCTGCACTAAACAACGTCTGGGGCACTGACCTGTCAGTCAAAAAAATATTAGCCAATGGGGATGCGTCCCTGAAAAATACCCGCCCACACGACATGTTTGTGTCAGAACTGTAAACAAAAAGTCAGGTAGTGCAAGCGAGAAAGGTGGCAGCATAACCGCAAAGTCAGGCACCACATGCGAGGAAGCTGGCAGCATAAACAAAGTGTAGTAACTGGGACTACCCATGTCACGTCCTCGTGGATCTCCTGGGCTGATCCGTGACAGAAGCATGCAATACCACAACCCTGGCAAAAGGAATCTTCAGTATCTAAACCTTCCACAGTCTCTCAATCCAAACCCAGTCCTCAGCTTATAAGCAAGTAGACAACTTTAAAGCTTCCAGTCACATGTTATCGCATTTTCAGGGAAAGCGTGCTGCTAAAGGAAGACAATTTCCTACAAGAATGAGCTAAGCCATGATGCAGAAGCCTACTGAAGCTCAGCCTGGCAAATAAAGGCAAAGGGTGCTTATCTTACGGTTATTAAGTAAAAATTCACAAGAACCTGACAATACTTATTTTGCAGGCTTATTTTCATGCGAAACAGAAGCTGACCAATTTATTGATATTTTACAACATTGCATTACAATTTTACATTAATGTACACAATATTTGTTGAAGTAGTGACACGCCACCACAAACGCCTTTGCAGGCTGGTCATCGCCCTGTCTTGCTCTTAGCGTACGATGTGCTCGGTCCAACATTGGGGCCTTGTCCAGCAGCAGGGTTTCCTTTAGCAGCTGCAAAATAAAATCAGTCACCCACTTCCTTTCCTCCCATCTTTCTTTAATCCCCATTATATGCAAATTACATCGCCGGGACCTCGCCTCCAGATCCTCATTTCTCTCCTCTAGTTTTGCAACATTGTGATTCAGCAATGCTTCTTCTTGTTGGAGAGCAGTGGCACTATGTGAGTGGCCATTTTCTGCCTCCTCCAGTGAAAACACACGAGCTTCCAGTGCGACTACCTTTACGCTTGCTTGGTCAACTGCATTTTTAAATTCCTCCTGTAACTGGTCACACTGAATTCTTATTTCTGTGGCGTGTGCTTCTGCCGTTTCGTAAATTTTCTGTAGTAGCTCAGTTTTCACCGCCCGTAGTTCACGGAGGATCCCATCTTGGCTCGACTCAGCTGAGCCAGCCGTTTTGTCCTGGCTTTTACTTCGCAAGTCCGGCATAATTGGATAACCAACCCAGCTGTCGAGCATTTAAAATGCCTTCACCAACCCTTAAATATTAGATTGGGATACTATATGCTGATAAAGTGTGTTATTTAATTAAAACAAAAAGAAAGAGAGTGAAGAGCTGAGCATTCGCACGTCTTCACATGCCGCTGCCCAAACCGGAAGTGCTTTCTGTAATGTATTAATTTCAATGGCTTCCTAATGCTGTTACAGCCTTGCCATCCAAACATTCAAGAGCATTGATGGCCTTCTTAAGCAATCTGAATCTGCACTCCATAGGCTGAAATTCCTTATGGGTATCCAGTCACTTACTGTACATAAACCTTGTTGACGGCTAATTAACTGCACATCTAAAAGAGAGAGCACTCCGCTTCCATACATGAAATTGATAATATCAAATGATGGTGTCTGGACATGTTAAAATGTATGAAATAATTAAACAGTAG